AGTCCTTTCAGCCCTGCCAGGGGGGTTGCAGTCATTTGAGTTTCTGTGGCCCCTGGACCATGCTCAGCCACTGAGCCATGCCAGCTGGGCCCAGAAGAAATTTTTAATGGTCCAAATCATAGCTCTCATAAACAAATTTTTTTTATACTCAGAAAAAAATAAAGATGCTTCATAGAAGAGGTTTCACTTGAACTAGGTTTTACAATTGTGTATTTACCTTCTATTTTTCATAGGCACTTGGGAGCTAATGAACATTTCTAGCAGATTCCTGTTATGTTTTAGTATAATAACTTATTTGCTATTGAGATTCCAATGGTTTAAGACTTGATGAGCTGAACATTAGGAGGCAGTTAGTCCAGTTGTCAAGTAGTATGTTAGAGCTCATGCAGGATATTTTTGGTAAATAGTATTTTAGAAACAATACTAGTTTGTGTGTGTGTGTGTGTGTGTGTGTGTGTGTGATAAATAGTATTTTAGAGTCCATTCCAAGATTTTTTTTTTTTTTTTGGTAGTAAAGACAGGGTTAAGGTGAGAGTGGGAACAAACGATAATTAATGATTCTTAGATATGATAGGGAAAGGTAAAGAAAAGTAAAAGCCAGCTTTCTATTTTTAGGCGTGGCTAAATAAGGAATTACTGTAGGCAAGTGAGAGGAATAGGTGGTTGGGTAATGGGGGAAGGGAAATAATGAGTTTTATTTTAAAGCTATGTGAGGATAATGAAGTGGAATGTCCAGCAAAAACTGGAAATTTGTGATTTAAGCCTGAATTTTATAATGTTATATTGGAGAAACTAGTTGAAATCAATGGTTTTATTGCTTACATGATTTTATCCATCAGCACTTTTTTGCTATTCTTTATTGAGCATTAAGGTATCATGATTAGCTGAAAATTCTAGTTCTGTTAATAAAACAGCCTTAGGATAAAGGACCTTTTTCACTATGCCAGGAAGATATGGAAAATAAAATCAATATTTTTCTTTTTGCCTATCACAGTTAACATTGTCATATCTGTAATAAATTATTTTTTTTCTTAAATAACACCTACTCTTTCCTAAGTCATATAATTAAAGAGGCATATTTTTAGAACAATTAAGATTGAGAATGCTAAAAAATAGCAAAGGTAACATATTTGTAATTATAATTTGCAATTTATAAAATAAAGATAATTGAATTATTACCTGGAATACCTTTATTTTCTATAAAGCCTAAATTAAGCATATTGGATAAGCATATTGGTAAATTGATTTAATCAAAGTTTTTTTCATATTCAGGCAAAATTTCACTACATGTATGGCTTCTAAATTTTTTCACCATATATATTTGATTAAAGACTTTGATTCAAAGCTTGATTGAGAGTTTCGTTGAAATATTCTAATGTTAATTCACTGATAGGTCAAGCTTTCTTATAAAAATGCTAAATGGCTTTTTAATAATTATATATTTGGGATGTTAAAATTTTAGACTAGAATATACTTAACTATAAAATAACAGCTAGGACAAGTACCTTCAAAAGTGATTAAAATTTGTTTTAGTTTAAAAAATGTGTTTTTAATATTTTATGCTATCCAACATTATATTTACACTAGAGGCCCGGTGCATGAAATTTGTGCAATCTCTTCAATCCAGCAGTTGGACATCCTGCTCACAACTGCTTACTTGCCTGCTTGCCTGATTGCTCCTAACCACTTCTGCCTACTAGCCTGATTACTCATAACCACTTCCCTGCCAGCCTGATCAATGCCTAACTGCTCCCCTGCTGGCCTGATAATCCCAACTGCCCTCCCTTGCCAGCCTGGTCACCCCTAACTTTCCTCCCCTGCAGGCCTGGTTCTCTCCTCCCACAACTGTCCTCCCTCCCCTGAAGGCCTGATCACCCCAAACTGTCTTCCCCTGCAGGCCTGATTGTCCCCAGCTTCCCTCATCTGCAGACCTGGTCCCCCCCAACTGCCCTCCCCTGCTGGCCTGATTGCCCACAACTACCCTTCTCTGCCAGCCATCTTGTGGTGGCCATCTTGTGACCACATGGTTGTGGCCATCTTGTGCGAGGGTATGACAGTCATTTTGCAAATTACCTCTTTATTATATAGGAGATATATATATATATTGATATATATATATATATTGATATATATATATATTGATATATATATATATCAATATATCAATATATATATATATATATATATATATATATATATAAAACATTTATTATGTATTTAGAAATATAAGAAACAGAAATAGAAGAACATTTATTTTATAACTTGAAATAGTTCTGGTTGAACTGCCTAGTATTTTAACTCTCATGCAGTATATGAATTTCTGTTGGTTGGATATCCAACATACAATCGGTTGGATAGCTATTCTATCTATGTTGCTGTGGGCTAGTCCTGTGAGAATTGTCTCCTAAGTTCTGCAAGACAGAGTCTATTCTGCCTTTGTGGCTCTGCGCCCTCTTTTATGTTGCTCTTTGGAGTTTCTTTTGTTGAGGTTTCTGTTTCTCTTTCTCTTCCTCCCTGCACGTTTTATCCTTTACTAGTATTCAGCTTTATTCTTTAGCTTCCTACCCTCTTCATGTTTAAAACTTGTCAAATATCATGGGGAGGGATTTGGGATGGGAATGGGGGGATGAGGACAATTATGTAATACCATAATCAATAAAATAAAAAAATAATAAAAAAAATAAAAGTTGTCAAATATCTTGAAGAAGAGGCTTGTATTTATCACCAGTATTTTCTTTAGTGTGACTTGACTGTTAGGTATCACTAGACTATAGATTTTACTTTGTATCTCCAGCCCAGACTTCTGTCTTTTGCTTGCTCTAGTACTCAGCAAATTCTTTTTTTAAAATGTTTTCGTTGATTTTAGAGAGGTGAAGAGATAGGGATAGAGAAAGATAAACATTAATGATTAAGAAACATGGATTGGCTGCCGCCTGCATACCCTCTACTGGGGATCAAGTCCACAACCTGGGCATGCACCCTGACCAGGAATCGAACCAGCGACCTCTTGTTGTACAGGTTAATGCTCAACCACTGAGCCACCCCGGCCAAGAGCAAATTCTTAATAGTAAAGAGCAGTCTTCTTTTGGGGTCCTTTTGTCTTCAGTTTTTCATGTTAGACTATGTTACCTAAAAAATTTCATTTATATTTGCTTTAAAATATTTTTAAAAAATGGCTTGTGTGCCAGCAGCCAAATCCATCAGTCCTATCTAGGAGTGACAATGGGAGAAGGAATGGTTGGTGATACCAGCCTGGGTGTTAAGGGAAGTAGGAACAATAATAACTTCTGTTAAGAAAATTAAAATGTATAATAGAGACAATCAAGTACTTTGCCAAGCTTTCCCAAATACTAGTCTAAGTATATTGTGACTCATGATTTCTTTGTGCCTTTGTACTCTTTTCCACTTTCACATACCATAAAAGCAGCCCCCAAACATCCAAAATTCATCTTTGGAGCTAATGCTAATATTGCTTATCCTCAGCCTACCATTACTAAGTATATTGTTGATGTAGGCAAGAAGGAAACAGCTGCTGGCATTTCTTAAGTGACTTACTGATTGTAGCATTTGGCATTTGACATAGGATTTAAACCAGAAATGTGTGATTTAAGTAAAAATCTACTCTGCAGTCATGATCAGCACTCTTACTATATTTAGTAATTTTTTTTGAAGTGAATGATTGTATTGTTGGCCTATGCTTGAGGATGAGAGGGATGTGACAAACAAAAGTAAGTATCTTTTATAAAATATGGCTCCTAGATGGACTACAAAAGTATGCTTTCTCAGTAGCCGAATTTGTTTAATATTTCCCTATCAGCCCCAATACTGATAGTTTAGTCTTTTCCCCTCCCAATTAAATTAGCTTTTGTGGAATAGTAAGGTTAGCTAACTTTTATAGAATCAGGTACCACTGTAAGTATTTTACTTGTTTTAACTCACTTAATCCTCACATCAACCTTTATATCCAAGATTTGCTTTACATATTTAGGTCTATCAATGTTTGCAAGGTTATATCCTCTTGTCGGATCACTCCCTTTATCCTTAGTGTCCTTTGTCTCTTATAACAGACTTTTTTTAAAAGTCTGTTTTGTCAGATATATCTGTTGCTATCCCACCTTCTCCCAGAAATGAATTAAAAGTTAAAAACTTTGGTGTTTAAACATAATACAGATGAATATATATGTTATATATAACTTGTTATATTTTAAAATAATTTGAGTAAAATGAGTTTTAAAAAGTTATCACTGAGATACTTAGATAATGGTTTACAGAAATTAATTGTGCAACAAATTTATGATATTTTATACTTAATTTTGTTTAGAATTACTATTCTACTTATCAATATGCATGTGGTTTATGTTGATTAAAATATTAATATAACTGCAGAGAATATAAAGAGCCATAAATGATGAAAGGGGAAGTCTTTTAACTTAATTGGGTCTATTAAAAATGAAATAAGATGTCTCATTTGTAGAATAATTAAAGTGTGCTCACATAGAAAAATAAAGCAGAAATAGTTTTGCGGCTTATGAAACAATAATCATTGTTCTCATTCTTATGTGGAATTTGGTTTTCATTCTGAAGTTTATATATGAGAATTTGATCTATATTTTGAAGTCAATTTTATCTTGAGAAAAATGGGTCTATAGTAAATTTCATAGTTCTGTTTATTTTTACCTGTTTTTTTTTTACAAATAAATTTACACTTTTATTATGAAGGCACAGGTTTATGGATTTGCTTTTAAAGTTATATTTTTAATAATTAATTAAAGAAAATTTTTAATTTTTTTTACTTATACCATTGCTTAGTAATGGTATAAGTAAAAAAAATTTATGGTGTATTTTATTTTATTTTTTAAAATTAAATTTATTGGGGGTGACATTGGTTAATAAAGTCATACAAGTTTCTTGTGTATAATTCTACAATATATCATCTGTATTTGTCTTGAATATTTTCTATATAAGATACATTTATACTCATTCATTGTAATTCTTTTCAGGATATTTCATCACTAGGCAGCTGTAATATTAAAAAGTCATATGTGATGTCCCAAGTTCAACATAGATATATGCTACCTTATGGTTTTGTGCATAAAATAAAATATACCTCCTTTCATAACACAACTCCTGAGGACCTGGACAAAATAACTGATGGACCAGACAAGTAAGATTGTATTTTTAAAACTATGGGGGGAAAATCTAGGATTTCCAGATTAAAACAGACTATTGTCAACACATAATCATAGTAACTATGCCTCTTTTAATTGTGTAGGACAAAAACAAAAACAAACAAACAAACAAACCCTTTTTACTACTATTCAGGGAAAAACGTTCTGTTTTTCAAGTGTAAGATTAGTCTTGTGTCTTGTGTTTCTTAATTTTACCAAACACTATTTTGGCAATTTTCTTAAGCTAATAAAGTTATCCTCTATTGGGGAAAACACCAAAATTCTCAGAATGCTAGAGTTGTTAGAGGAGAACAGTACTTAACCATGGTTTGGAACATCATTCGTGTAATACATACACATTATGCCAGAGTCCTGGACTATTTTAATTTCTCTTAAATATCAAGAAAGCAGCTATATAAAATGGTACATTTATTTGGGGAGTTAAAATTGCAAAATATACAGCCAACATTATAACTGATGGGCAAAAACTAAAAGCATATCCCTTAAGATCATGAACAATAGGGATTTCTGCTTTTACCACTTTTACTCAACATAGTATTGGAAGTTTTAGCCATAGTAATCAGACAAGAAGAAATAAAAGACATCAAATTGGAAAGGAAGAAGTAAAATTGTCATTTTTCACAGATGACATGATGTTGTAGAAGATTCCACCATAAAACTACTTTCCTATATAATAAAAAGGTAATATGCAAACTGACCCTAATGGTGGAATGACTGGAATGACCAGTCCCTATGTGCACACTGACCACCAGGGGGCACACGCTCAATGCAGGAGCTGCCTCCTGGTGGTCAGTGCGCTCCCACCAAGGGAGCTCCATTCAAACATAAGCCGGGCTGACGCTGCAAGTGCAGCGGCGGTGGCAGGAGCCTCTCTGGCCTCCTCCACAGCACTAAGGATGTCCGACCATGGGCAGCAGGCCTAAGCCATCAGTTGGACATCCCCTGAGGGCTCCTGAACTGCAGAGGGATGTCTGATTGCCAGCTTAGGCCTGATCCCCTGGTGAGTGGGTCTAAGCCAGCAGGTGGACATCCCCCAGGGGCCCTGGATTTTGAGAGGGCACAGGCTGGGTTGAGGGACCCCTCCGAGTGCACAAATTTTCATGCACTGCACCTTTAGTATCTAATAAATGAATTTGACAAAGTTGTAGGATACAAAACTAACATTCAGAAATCAGTGACCTTTTCATACACCAATAAGAAAATAGAAAACAATCGTTTTTAAAAAAAATATATATATATATATTATTGATTTTTCTTACAGAGAGGAAGGGAAAGAGATAGAGAGCTAGAAACGTCGATGAGAGAGAAACATCAACCAGCTGCCTCTTGCACACCCCCTACCAGGGTTGTGCCCGCAACTAATGTACATGCCCTTGACCAGAATCGAACCTGGGACCTTTCAGTCCGCAGACTGATGCTCTACCGCTGAGCCAAACCGGTTTCGGCCAGAAAACAATCTTATTTACTATTGCAACAACAAGAAAATAAGGTACCTAGGAATAAATTTAACCAAGGAGGTAAAAGACCTGTAACTTGAAAAACTATAGGAAATTGAAGAAAGGAATTAAGGAAGATACAATAAGTTGAAACATATGCCATGTTCATGGATAAGAAAATTAACATAATTAAAATATTCCTATTTCCCAGAGCTAACACTAGCTTCTGAAAGAATTTGGGAGAGGGGAATATCTTTATTATTAGTTGAAAGTCAAAGACACAGTGACTGTCAAAATCATACAATTGTAGATAAAGTAGCCAGTTTGCTAAATGAAAAGAGTTTATCACATTGGTTAAATTAATAATATTGTTACCTTGCATCTTAAGGTAGCCTATACATCAAAGAAATGATAGCAGAAGTCCTACATGCTTCTATAACCAGCAAATTACAAAAATATATGGACTTCTAAAGCTATTCCCTGATGCCATGATACATGAAATTTGATTTCCTCTGACATGTACAGATATTGTAATAAGTATAGAATTATTCATTGTTTATAATTTAATCTGCTATCTTAAGGTATGCAGTCTAAAATATGTTTGAAACACATATTAAAAAAGTGATCAGAGCCAATTTGATTAATATCCATGTTTCATTTTGGTAATTTAAGATTAAATTCCATTTATCTTAATTTTGTTACATTGATACAATCAAGATATTCTGGCATGTTATCAACTTTCTCGATTCTTTATTTTTATTGTTTTTTACTTAGATTAGGTTTTTATTTAAAAAATATATATATTTTATTGATTTTTCACAGAGAGGAAGGGAGAGGGATAGATAGCTAGAAACATCGATGAGAGAGAATCGTCGACCAGCTGCCTCCTGCACACCCCCCACTGGGGATGTGCCTACAGCCAATGTACATGCCCTTGACCGGAATTAAACTGGGGATCCTTCAGTCCGCAGACCAACACTCTGTCCACTCAGCCAAACCGGTTTCGGCAGATTAGGTTTTTGTTTTTTTTATGATGAATATGTCAAAGAATTCTTGATTCTTTTTATATACATTAATATGGTTCTCTGCTTTAAAATGAGATTAGCTGATCTAACTTTTGCTGGGGACACCTATTATAATATGTCTTTTGACTTAAAAAAAATTATTATAGCCTTAGCCGGTTTGGCCAGTGGATAGTGTTGGTGTGTGGAGCAAAGGGTCCCGGGTTTGATTATGGTCAAGGGCAAGTATCTTCGTTGCAGGTTTCTCCTTGGCCCAGGCCCTGGTCAGGTCTCAAGCAGGAGGCAACCAATTAATGTTTCTCCTGCTTCGATATTCTTTTCTTTCTGTCTCTCTCCCACTCTTCCTAAACATCTGTGGAAAAATATTCTAGGGTGAGGATTAACAAAATAATTAATAAATTAAAATTATTATAGTCCTGGCCTAGAATGTCGGCCTTTGTAAGCGAAGTCTCAATTTGATTTCGGTCAAGTGTAAGTCAAGGATATGTACCTGGGTTGCAGGTTCAACCCCCAGCTTGGTCAGGGGTATGCGGCAATCAATCGATGGGGTCTCTCTCACAGAAATGTTTTTTACCCCTCTTCCCCCTCTCTTCTTCCCTCCCCCTCCTTTCCATTCTCTCTGAATTTAATGGAAAAGTATTCTCAGGTAAGGATTAAAAAATTATAGAATCAAAAGATACAGTGATAATAGTTTTATTGGTTATATGCTTTGCATTAATGTTTATCCTGTGAATTATATCCATTCATTTAATATTTTCTTAGAAATATGGGAAAAGTGTGTTTATTTAACCTATTATTTGTCATTTAAACATTGTAATTTTGTTTTACTTTAATACCAGTGAAAAGAACCTTCTTGAGTTATATATTAAATTCTTTATAAGTCAGATAAATTATTTTCTGTTAATATATATATATATATATATATATAACATAAGTAAAACTATAAAATTGTTTAAATTTATAGATCTTGGTATGCATGTTTGTTACTTGTCACATATTACTAAGAAGAATTTAGTGCCTTTATAGAATTTAAATAACATATATATTATTATATTTTTACCTATAAATTGAAAATTGGCAAAATAAAATTGATTACTGGATAACTTACATTTGTAGATAAGTGTAAGAACTGAGGTTGATAAATGATACATTGTGTTACAAGGTTGATTGGTATATGAATAATATTCTCATGGGACTTACAAACTTATAGGACATTCATTCAATCACAACATTTTATAGCCTTGTATTTATTTCAAATTGTTTTAGAACCTTTATTAATAATATATAAATTGTTTTCTTTTATTCATAAATCATTATTTGGCTGCATATACTTAACAAAGATAAACTCATTTTTAATAGTCTAAATTAAAGAGGTAAATAGTATATTTACAATCAGTATACTATAAACCATTAAGTATTGTATAATCAATAAACCACATTAGAATGACTTAATGAAGAAATTATTAAATGAGGTATATCACATTATAAAGCAATCTACTCTTATTACACCAAGTTTTAATCCATGGATATATAATGATTTTATGATTGATTTAGCTTGAGTAAAGTAAAATTGCAAAGTGGAAAAAGATTTAAACATTACTTTTTATTTCTCATATTGACCCGTTTTTGAAAATTAAAAGTGAAATGCTTAGCAAACTTAAAAAGAAAATGAAGAAAAATATTGAAGAGTATGAAAAATTGAAACTCTTATACATCATGGCAGAAGTATAAATTGATATCAGCAATTCTCAAGGACAGGCTGGCATAATGTTTTAAATAGACATGCCATTTAACCCCAGAATTCTACTTCTGGGATTACCCTAAGAATAATGAATTCTATGCCTCCAATTTAAGCACTCATGATACTCATTATAAAGTCTCTCTATATAAAAGCCCAGTGACCAGTAAGGAGTGAGCAGGCAGGCAGTTAGGAGTGAGCAGGTAGGTGGTAAGGAGCAAGCAGATAGGTGATTAGGAGCCAGCAGGTGGGCAGTTAGGAGGAACGGGACCTGGATTGCGAGAGGGTGCAGGTCGGGTTGAGGGACAACCCCTCCCCACATGCATGAATCTTGTCCACTAGGCCTCCAGTATTAGTAATGAAAAGCTTAAAATGTCTTAAATGAAAGAAAAATGGGTTTTAGTTAATTTTGATACATCAGCTGAATAGAATACTATGAAATATTTTAAAATAGTATATATTTTTTAGGTCTGATAACAAGATAGGATTCATTTGATTAATCATTTAGGAAATGTGCACTGAGAGCCTTTTATGTATTAAAAAAAGTCTTATGCTCTACCTCACACATGTCAAACACAAGGCCCGCGGGCCAAATCCGGCCCGCCAGGCCTTGCAATGTGGCCCGCATCGCGCTGTCATCACTGCACTCCGCTGCGTTCCATCACAATGACGCTTGGTGACATAGGAGGCTTGTGATCTTGCTGGCCGCCTTGCCGGCCGGCCGCCATACTTGCTATCTATTACGCATGCGCATAGATAACAAGTCACGCGAGATTCAGGAGG